TACAGAGACATTCTATACAATTGTGTGGTTTAATTTAATTTAATTTGTAGTAATAGTTTGGTGAAGAATCACATAGGGGTGTTATGGTCAGGGGTGCACATACTTTTGGCCATATAGTGTATCGGTGATAATAGCTAAAAGGCAATAAACTGTGCATTTACTAAAAAAAAAAAAAAAAAAAAAAAAAAAAAAAAAAAAAAAAAAAAAAAAAAAAAAAAAAAAAAAAAAAAAAAAAAAAAAAAAAAAAAAAAAAAAAAAAAAGAGCAGCTATAAGTGCTATACACACTTTAATAATAATTTTATTCCAGCTAGTTTGTATGTATGTATGTATGTATTTATTTATTTATTTATTTATTGTTATGAATATAAATAGCACAAACTACAAATTTGCTCATACAAAAACCTTGAATATCAGCCGATACCCATCCCATACTGATTTCTTTTAAAACTACAAAGCTTTTTTTTTTCACAGTTAAACTCTTTCACATGAAAAATCACTTAAATTGTAAATATAGTCAATATAATAAAGTATAAAGTATAAAATAATAAAATCAATCCTAACAGTCAAGTTTCTTTATACTGTATGTCAACATTGTCTCTGATATCCAGTCCACCATTTTTGTTTTATTTATTAATATAAATGAAACGTATTAAATGTAGATAATTTTATAATATAATCTAATTCAGATAATAACATTTATATAATTTATTATTTTTATTTATTTATTTTTATAAAGGAGCATTTTTTTTTTTTTGCAAAAACTGGACATGATCGTTTTATGTCTTATTCTTTTTTATTGAAATATGTATTTATTGAAGGTTTACCCCATGACTCTTTAGGTTTGGTGATGCTGGCAAAGTGTTACAGTGTGTTTGAAATAATCAATCAATCAATCAATCAATCAATCAATCCACCATTCAGTAACAGTATACTGTATTAAGCCAGATTTCTGAGGCTGCATGGTCAGAGTTAAATCACTAAAAGGCTTTAAAGTGTGGTTTTCTTATGATAACACGATCAGGAGCAGTTAGATCCTGATTATAATCCGTCTTTAAAATTTTTGGGGCTGAAAATTTGAAAGAGGTTTAGACATAAAAGTCAGAGAGCTGAGTAGAAATCTACTGGCTGTGTGCTGCTGTGAGATAGGAAGGACGCTGACGGAGATGTTTGGGCCATTAAGTTAGCCGTTATTAAAAATAGATATGTTTGTACAGGAAGCATTAAGTGTGGGCTGTAAGTAAGGTGCACTTAGGCCTCTGCTCCTTTTCCATGCCCTGATACGCCTTTGCTCCGGCCTCCGGGCTGCTCATGTCCGTCTGAGATGCTGTATTACACACACTGAGGAACGGTCAGGGGTTTAATGTGGGAACAACAGAAAAAAAAAAAAAAGTTCAATAATGGTAATGTTTCAGGAGTTTAGCTACTCGCTGTCTTATTACAGATATCAGAAATATGTATCAGAATACCAGGAATAATACAATTAAATAAATAAATAAATAAATAAACTTTTTATAAAGTTTTTATACACAAGCAACTACATTAATCTTATTAATTCATAAGAATACATAAACAATAAATTAAATAATAATTAATTCAATAATTCAATAATGTCTTCGCAATGTCTATAATAATATGTTAATCCACTGGTACATATTTTTTACCCTTATTTTAATATAAAAATATATATATTTATTTATATAAAAAAGCTCCAAATGTTTTTTTTATCTGAAATTCACAAAAAATGTAAACCCTTTGAATCAAAAATTAAACAAATGTGCAATAAGAAAGCATTAAGAAAACACCAAGCCATCATTTTGTTTTTCAGATCTAATAATGATAATAATAATATATATATATTTTTTTTTAAAATCTGAGAACACATTAATGGATGAATGATTAATGAGTTAGCTATAAATCTGTAAGAGTTATGAAAGCGATTAACGACGGCTAGGCTGGGTTAAACAGGTACGTTTTAAACCTGGATTAAAAAAAGATCTGGAATTTAAGACTCAGCTCAGTAGATAAGTCACAGCCTCACAGCCATATTTAACGCTAAACGCTGCTTATTTCTGTACTGTAGTGCTGAAACGGGACGGAGAGACGGGACGAAACCTAAGCAGAGCACTTTGCTGGCAGTGGGCTCGTTCGTCAAGCTAACGAGGAGGACGAGCCATGAGTCTGAAGGTGAAATGAGGGGAAGGAGAAAGGCGTGGCACTTAAACTTGCATAAAAATAACTCTCAGCTAAAATACAGTGTACTGATATGCAGCATATCATCATTCTATACACGGGTTCATTCCCTTTATTTACAGTCTTTCAGTACATTCCGATACGACCAGACTTAATAAAAATACCATTTCAAATAAATATCCAGTGACTGTGGTTTGCCCATAGATGATCTTTTATTTAATATTTTGTGGATGAAAATATCATCAGATCTACATCTGCACAAAGGCACTAAGATATTGGCACCAGTGTTGTTTATTTCTCGATTGTAATTGTTGAACAATCCGCTCATTCTAATAAATTATTGTTTCTATAGTAACAGCTCATCATCATCATCATTAAAAAAATCACTGATGTGGTGGTTTTCTGTAAGGGGAAATGTGTTTATTTAACATTTATGGAAGGAGTCTCCGGTGTCAGCACTTACTCACTCGGTAACATGACAATCTGTAGGGGTTTTTTTTTTGTCTTATTAATTTCAAGAGAGAGAAAAACATAGAGGCTGGTGAGGGAATGACTGTTTATAGCTGCTATAATGTAAGTGAGAACTTATTTCACAGACATTCCACAACATCAACTGGTTTCTCCAGAACTAATGTAGGGATTTCAGAAAGCAACCAGGGGTGAATACTTATGCAAACACAACTTTTATATTTTATATATATATATATATGTAATTTTGCAAAATACATATATTTTTCCTTCCATTTCAATATTATGGGCTATTTTGTGTAGATTCATGAAATAAAGTCAATTAACTCCATATTAGCTTGGATCCCTGGAGGACTAGTGGTTAGATCTCAGCGCTCTCATCGCCACGGCTCGGGTTCGATTCCCAACAAGGGAACCAACTCCAGCCACTGGGGTTGCACATGACAGTGCACTCCCAGTGCTGGTCCCAAGCCCAGATAAAATTGGAGAGGGTTGCGTTAAGAAAACGTAACGTACGTAAAAACTGTGCCAAATCAAATATGCAGACCAACGATCTGCTGTGTCGATCCCTAACACGAGCAGCTGGAAGAAGAAGAACGACAACTCTATATTAGTTTCAGGTCATAACACTACAAAATGTGGAAAAGTTCAAGGGGGGGTTAATACTTATGCATGGCACTGTACTGTAATTATGTTAGGACTGATATGAAAAAACGTCGTCTGGTTGGTTCTGGGAAAAAAAAAAAGGTAAATGTAATTATAAACTGATAAATGTGTGTGTTTTTTTTTAAATAAATTTTTAAAAAAAAGGCAAATTGCTGTGGTGTAAGAGGAATAAAACATTTCTGGACCTGCTGTTATAGGAAAATAATCAACAGGGTGGAAACATAGTGTTTTAGTCCTTACATTACACATTATATTATTAAAATATGCTACACTACATACTGATTGCACACTAATGGAAGAGTTTTTTAAAAAAAATCTTTGATTTAACTAGACACCAATAAAAAATGTGAATAGTTTTAAAACCTTTAAAAATTACTGCGTGTTTGCATAAAAAGTTACGCATGAATGCAGCATGCAAACGCAAAACACACACACACACACACACACACACACAAGCACACCTCGCTGCCATTTCTGCTGAGTCCGATCTTTTCGGGCCGGAGAGAAGGCCAGTGCTGAGATGCCTGCAACGTGGACATAATTAGCAAAGTGGAATTAAGCCCGCACGCTGTCGGCTAAATTTAGCACAGTTTGATAACTTGGCTGTTTAAAACGGATCCCTCTGCTGCGTTCGGAAGCTCACGGAGAGAGAACAGATAAATCCATTACAATGTTATATGACCCCTGTTTCAAAGCAGAGACAAAACGTGGTGCAGGCTTCGTATTGAAACAAAGAATCATACATTACTGTACAAAAAAAAAAAAAAAACAGGGAATGTAATTCAGCTGAGTAAAAGTCCAGCTATTCTGTGAACCTTTCTGAAAGATGTCGCTGTGTTTCTACTCATTTGATTCCAAAAAGTGAAAATATCTTAATTAAAAAAAAAAGATAATTAAATAATCAATTGGAAAATAGAAAAACAAAATAAAGATGACGTATGCTTAATAGTCTGATAAGCAAGGACTAAAACACTCTGTGTCACGCTGTTATAGGAAAATAATCAACAGCCAGGAGGTGTGATGAAGTGGAGTTCCTGTTACCAAGCAGAAGTTGATTATTTTCCTGTAACAGCACGTCCTGAGGTGTTTTTTTTCCTCTTATACAACAGCATTTGAAATGTATAATTTTTCATTTATTAAAGAATGACACGTCATACTTTTTATCCACTTATAGTTACATTTATCATAGCAGCTGTAAACAGACATTCTCTCACTTTCTCTTGAAGTTAATTAAAAAAAAACAAAAAAACGCAGCTTTTGTTATATTACTGAGAATTTAAACTCCTCTGTCCTGAAGATGTCGGAAAACTTAAAGTTACAGCTTTACCTCTGACTGTTACAAAGCGCTGACACTGGAGACTCCTTCCATAAATCTTACATAAACACATTTGTCCTCAACATATCAACATTTATACGCATTTTTAATCCGTTTATATGGAGCGTACGTCGTACAAGTCCCTGTGAATGAGCTGTTACTATAGAAACGATAACGTATTAGTGGTGTAAAAATAAATATGACTATATTCAAGTTAATATAGTGTAATATTTATTCTGTTATCTACTCAATAGCTACTGCACATATTCACTGCCCATAGTCTTGTTATTTATTTATTTACAATAAATACATTTAAATATCAAACCTACGCTTTGTTAATTTGCACAATGCTACTACTTGCACTCCTGGTAGATGCATTTCATTGCAGAGTACCTGTACTGTGCAATGACAATAAAGTTGAATCTATTTTTGCTGTATATTGAAGTGATTTTGTAGAGTGTTACAGTGAAGCAAGCAAGCGGCTAACACCGCACAAACACACAAAGCTAACATTAACTCGGCTTTCTGAGCACATTGCACTCTGCATCACAGTTTCTCTCTCTCTCTACATGGATATCTATATTTTTAACCTTAAAGCCGGGCCACGCTGTCTTCACCCCGCACGGCTATATTTATCCCTCACGCCTCCATCTCCAGTTTCCTTCGCCTAAGAGCAGGTGGAAGATGGAGGAAGGGGTGAGGTGAGAGCAGAGCTCACTTCCTGCCGGGTCACACTGTCCCGGGACACGGAGAGGAGAGGAGGCCATTCATAAACATCACTGACACGCTTCGATGGTGGTGATATGAGCCGATTGGCTCCTCGGCTCACAGTAACATGAGGACTCAAACAAAGAGCTGGGAGTTTAGCATCCATCCTTCCATCCTGATGAAATTTTCTGCTTGCTAATTCTTTGGACGACTCTCAGAGATGCTAACTAGCGAGCCCCGGTTTGTCAGCATGCAGTATTTTTCTTCCTCATCCAGTGATCTTATAAATCTGCTGGAAAATCAGATAATTTATCCCACTGACTGGTGGATTGCACATTCTGTCATTTTGCATATATCTTTTTTTTTATCTTTGTTTTTACATCTTTTGGCTCTGATCGATCCCAACACAGCCAATCCGAGATGTCTCGTTCGGAAATTTGAATCCCACAGTTGTCTCAGCTTTGGTACTTCACCATAAACTACACTAGCTAGCTTATTCTGGTTCTTACACACACGAGACTTTGAGTAATTAAAGAGGTCTGGAATGGTTCTCATTCCAAAAGATCAATTCATACACAAATGCACATGAATCCATGGATCTGGTGCAGTATAGAGCTGAAAAGTACAGATTTTCCTGAAGTGAAATGCACATCTCTCAACCAGAAGTAAAATTCCAGTATTTTAGAGTGAAAAAGGTTTAAAGATTTCATGTTTAAAGATTTCATTTTAAGTGCACTGAAAGACTCACTGTAAAGACAGCAAATGAGTTTGATTATCAACATCATCCACATCAGTCTCTGTCTCATCACACTGAGGTACAAGTCACTCACAGCGTATAAACACGAGCCTCATCGTCGTCTCTTCACTCCGCTGATCTCTGTTCACGCTAACATCAGTGGAGAAATAATCACTCAATCACTCACTCACTTCTGGATCTCTTGGCTTGTTATTAAAGTCTGTTTTAACAAATGAAATCTCCGTCGTCTGTACAGAGTGTGCAAGCGCTCTTCTCTGTTTTGATGACGATGTGATGGCGCAGGAGCACGGCGGCCATTTTGACAGCCGCTCTCTGATTACAAATTGAATTGACTCATTATGACATGTAACTATCCAACAACTCCACAAGCACACTTATGTATCTAGCGAGGTTTTTGATGTCTTTAGACTGTTTTATATAGCTGAGTTTAAAATGATATTAAAGTATATCAGACAGACGATTTTTCATCTCTTTTGATGTTTTTCAGAATTCAGCCACAGACAATGAATTCACAAACAGACAATTCCATAAACCTTGTTAAGAGAGGCATGAAAAAAACTCAGGAGTGGAAATACTGTGCTTTTCTGAGGAACAGAAAAATAAAAATGTCTTTTAAATTACAAGTTAATAGTCAATGAGTGAGTTGTAGTGAGAGTGAGAAAGAGATGGCGAGAAAGCACATCAGTATGTACAGCCATAATGTCTTATAGTTATGCTATATATATATATATATATATATATATATATATATATATATATATA